TCTCTTGTCTCCATAAAAGAGAAAAAAAATCCAAGTGATGAAACTGCGTGTGAGCTGTTTTAGTGAGATAGCTAGACAAGTGTTTTGATTAAGACTTCTGTTATCGGATAAAAATGGAGTCGTGCTCTCTACTTTTATCATCACTGGCTCACATTTATCATTTGCAGTTTATTGCATGAGGCTAGCAACCCCAGAAAGGAGGGCAACATCAACATTTAACATGGCCATGAAAATACATCGGAGCATCATTGCAACTATTTTTTATTATCATTTAACTTTTTTGGAACTTTCACCCTTCCTATCATTGGAATGCTCTCTGAATCACAATGCTCTGCTGCACTCAGGTTTTCTGTTTTAGCTGTCTGTGCATGTACGTCATTGTAATGAATCTCCAGCTTAGATTATCAGCAGTGCAGCGATACTGCCTCCGAATGGGCCTTTCACTTAGGATGCTTTGTGAGAGAAAATGTCTGCAGAGTCTAGTTATTTCTATTATTGTACATCTGTCACGGGGAGATGACACACACTTCAGTTGGTGGAAGACACATTTTATCACAGCCATCAGCAGTGTTGGCTTGACGATGGCATCGGTGTCGATCTCTGCCGCCTCAACTGCAGGAGAAGGTACCTGTCAGTATATTTTATGCGAGTGGAAGTGTTTCGACAGGTGTCTGTTTTCACATTCACATAACAAAGCAGTTATAAGGTGTGTTCGCACTTGGCAGGTTTGGTTCAGTTAAAGTAAACTTAGGTGCGATCACTCTATTAGTGAGGTTCATTTGAGCAGGTGTGAATGCTGCCGTCTGAACCTTGGTGTGCGCCAACCCAAGCTTCCAAACAAACTCTAGTGCGGTTTAAATAAAATATGAACACACTACAAAGATAGAGGTCTAAACAAACAAACAAAAAAAAAACAAGACTGAATACTCTTCTCATCATAGGAGCTATGTTACCCGGCATATCTTCGTTTGTGCATGCTATGGAACAATACTTGCTGCTGTTTTGATTCCTTAATACATTTTACAAATTCTTTGTGAGTTCTCAGCTGGTAAAAATATCCACCATACTCTGTTAAAACAAAATCAGTTACAAAAAAAAGGGTGAGAGTCTGGCAGCATGGGTGCCAGAAAAAATAGATTAACAATGGTGGAATACTGTAAGGTTCACAAACTGTTAAAGCTGCACAATAACAGCAAATGTTTGTACAAACAGCATTTCTTAGCTGATTTGAATACAGTCGAACAGTGTAATTTTACAGTCACACGTTGTAAAAGAATAAATTACTGTTTGTAAAAACTGAGTTTTTTTCTGATTTGGTCGTTTTTCACAGTTTTTGACCTTTTTTATTTGTTTTTAGAAGTGAATATGTAAATTAATGCTTTTTGGTGATTTTATTAGTTATGTTGTTCAACAAAATCCATAAAATAACAGTAAGTAGTTTTCAAAAACTTAAGTTTAAAAACTGTTAGAAAACATTTGCTTTTGTATAGTTTGTATCCACAAATCCAATGAATGCATGTAGCTCAGTGTACACCATTGTTCTCAGGGTTCTGTACGCTCTGTAGCAAAATTTGTCATAAAAGCTGTTCAGCCAGTCTGTCACCTTATGCATATACCTTTTGTTTAAAATATGTTTTACCTTGTTAATATGTCTCTATGGTGTTTTTTTGTTAGCAGGAAGACACACCAATATGCAGTCAACACCCTGGCTGAGCACTTCCACCTTGAAACTGCAGTGTACTGATGACTGTCTCATAAAAATTGATTAATTCTTTTGGGGTTTCATATGTAACAAACTTCAGCAATCAATCTTGTCAGCTTGCAAGGTGGGGATTTCTGGATCATTACCGCCTCTTCAGAACTAGTTTCCAATTCGAACATGTATGACTGAACTACTCCAATGTATAACTGTTCATTTTGTCGCACAGAATAGTTTTACAGTCTGTGAGGAGAGTGTTGGGTGAGCTGGTGTGCTCCAGCTGCAGTGAGCGGGGAGGGGTCCGTACACAGAGAGAGAGACGAGAACTTAAAACGAGTTTTAAAGGAAGCAACTGGGTGGAGTTCCATCTTAGTCATTTCAAAGCAGGAAGGGAAATATGATTTTGAAACACAGAGTTCTTAGTGGTTAAGTCATTGACTAGAGAGGGAATTTAGAAATGCCAGTGTGAATTCCAAGCGAACCAGATACGAAAGGTAACATTTCTGCTTTTGACTGGACAAAGAACTGAACTACAAGTATGAATGTAGACTAAGAGACTGTTTATCTCTTCACGGCCATCATTTGTGCAAAAGCAGCACATGCAAGCAGATCTTTGTCAATGTTGAACTATATAATGGCCTCAAATATCTGAACTTGCTTCCACTAACATTTTCTAACCACTTGGTTCCCCACAAAACCTACATTAGCAAAGCTCCATCAGAAATCTGTCACTGCAATATTTTAAAGATTGAAGGGGTGTGTGTGAAGTTAGTAACTTAACAGAAGTGGCAGCGACATGCATGTTGGACTTTCAGAAGTTAGAATGGAGTGTAAAGGTGAGCCAGAGTCCTGCCAGAAATGTGTCAAAACATCCATAAAACCTTTTCAAACCACCCCCATCGCTGCAAAGCTCCACTAGTTGAAGCATACAGTATTCACTGAATTATAGGAGAAATAAGTATTCCCTGGAACCTACTGAACCCTCTCCAGCTGTATAATCCACTGACAAGTGGATTATACAGCTGGAGTGGTTTGAAACTCTTTTTTTTTTTTTTTTTGCAGTGACTCTGGATCATCATTTGTTTCCTTTCTCGCTCAAATGTGAATTAGAAAGCTGTACACTTTTCAGAGCCACTTTTCCAGCCTGCAGGGGGTCAGTAATTGTTTCAAGAAAAAACTCAGACAAAGTGACATTAAATGGTGTATGTAGTCCAAAATAAGGAAATGCCTACAGTGTTATTGAATGTAATTGCACCATCTTTTATTTAAGGTATTGCACAAATACACCATAGTTTGGTTTAGGTTGTGACTCATGTTTCAGCTCCATTGTGCATCTTATTAATTTTCATCATTTTACTGGAAAGAAAGACAGTCGCAGTGACTGTTTCATTATTCAGGGAGCAAGTGAGTGTTTAAGTAAGAATCTTGTTCAGTTTGCATAATTTTAATCCTTCTGGGCGTCCATCAAGCATCACATTTCCCGTCTCGTTTGGACAAGTAAGACAGCCTGCCATCTCTCCTCACGTCGCCCTAATTTTTGCCTCCGCCTCCTCGCTCTCATAACCACTGAATGGCCACCTTGGCAGACAAGTGTCACCTAGCCTGCCTCTAATTAGCCCACCCTTCGCCATGTGTTTCCCACGGGCCCCAGACAAATACCGACACAGCTTGTGTTTATCTCGTCAACATAATCAGACTCGTGCACAGGTGTCAAAATAACAACACCCAGACTCAACACCAATAATACCTAGTAAGAATGACAAGATGCCTCCCGTATAGATGTACGTAACTGTGCTATTTCTAAGGTCTTTGACTTGTCTGTGTCAATTTTAAAATTTACTGGTGTGCAAAGTGCGACTTCTCTCGATCCGGATCGGTCTCACCTCAGAACAACATCAAGTTGGGAATTAAAATTAGAAAATGAGTCTGACAGGTGCTTGTTTTCATTCCAGGTGATATCACTCATCAGGCTGGATCCGCTGAGCGAGCAGACAATGTTTGGTGTCTAATTTAGTTCTCTGTAGGCAGAAATGAAGAGCTTTTTAATGAATGGTGATGGCACAGAGAGGATTAGGATTCATGGAAATAACTTTATATGGCTGGAGTGTAATCAGTCTTGTTTTTTTTCCCCCCTTTTGTCGTCTTTGATTAAAGTGCAAGCCTCTCAGTATGGGCTTTGTTTGCCATATTAGGAGTTTCACACTATTCGCTCAACTACCAGTGTTTGCAAAGTCGAAGGGGATGTTCGGACTAATGATGCAGATGGTGCTGTCTTTTAAAATACTTTAGGTACAGGCTGATATTAGAAGTTTCATACTGTCTTTTGTTGTACCTTGAAGAAATCAGCAATTGTATAAGTGCAGTGCTAAAGCTTGCATCTACAGTTTCAATTCAAAGAATGCACTCAGTCAATATTCAGGTAATCTGTCCAGGTTTTTATGTTTCTAGTACTACTAGCAAGTAGAACTCTAATCACCCTGTGGGTTCCGTAAATGCACGTAAATAACAATCCGGCCATGCATAATGGCATAATGACATAATGTTGGTTTAAATCTTGAACTGTGTGATCAAAATATAACTAAAGAGATTACATTTGATGCCAGCTTCTTACATTTTACCCTTTTCTTGACTTAGCAGTGTGCAAACTACACTATGGCATTTGGGGAAGCTCACTTTTTTGTGGTTACAAGCAGCAGATACAACACATGTAAAGCTCTTACTTTAGCTTTTTTTTTTTTTTTTTTTTTTAATATCGTCATTCCTATAAATAAGGACATGAATATTTAAGCCCTTTATTGCTTTCAGCACCACAGAGGGTTTGGCTCGTTCTGTCAAGAAAGTTAACTTTTTTTTCTAATCTTTGAGTTAAAACGAGTGAAGTCGAAGACATTGCACTGCCACGCTTTGATGGTGAAGAGCAGCATGCATGCCGGTATCTTTATTATAAAGTGAATCAGTGATGAATCATCCTCATGCCTGAATCATGCATCAATAATAGCCTAAATTTATGCATGGTCCATGATAGGGTGAAGATACTTGTGGGGGGGGGAAGCATATCCGAAAAAGCATACTGTCAATATTTTAGACAGTGTTTCACAAATCACGTTTTCAGGGGAACTTGTGTCTTATTAAGAGGATCAAACTCCCCCTGGCTCCTCTACAGTTCACATCCTGATGCTCAGTGCTGTGGATTCATACCGTATCAAAAAAAAGTAATGAGGCTTGATAACCAGCCTTGTTGCTGTACCATTACACGATGCCTGATTTAGTAAAACTTGCGTCTGTGTGTGTGTTTCACCAGTTGTGGCTGCTGTCGGTTCTGGAGGCGGTGAAGGTGTCTCCTCTCATAGAGAAAGTCAGCGACCACAAAGACTTCAAGAAGCTGCTCAGGACGAGAACCAATGTTCTGGTGCTCTACACCAAAACAGGTCAGTGAAGACACAGATGACGATGTAGATTTTAACACAACATACACTCGGTTGAAGGGTGTGATATTTAAAACAAAATGAACATTTGTTTAGCTGTTGAGTGGAATTTGTTATCAGAGATGTGATGTTCTGCTACTACAGCATTAATTTCTGAATGAGCATTCATTGTTTGTCACAGCAGGAGGCGGGGACAGCAGTCTAGCCAGACAATCACAGTAATGCTTCAGAGATAATGCTGGTATTATCTCAATAACTCTCAAACAGCTTGTCATTTTAGAGGTCGTCGTGGAGTGCTGCAAACCCACATAACATTGGTGTTATTTGCAATCTCACAGATTTTTTTTATTGGTTTACAAAATGTTAGCCAACATGACAGCCAACTAGAAAAATACCACCTTTTTTTAAGGTTATGATTTGGTAGCAAAGGTGCTGCTGTCATGCTGTACTTGTACAAGTGCATAATTACAGATCATTCTAATTATTTCAATATAGTCAGAAATCAGGAATTCACATTTTTGAAGTGGCTCAGTTAGCAGCAGTCGCCACTAAAAGACGGCACAATCATAGCTTTTAAAGTCAAGCTTCAGCTCAACATTCACTCTGTAATAGATTTTTAAAATGTGGTGGAGAATTACAACATGAGATGACATCAAAAGCATGATTTCACACACAGAGGACGGCAAGAATTTGTAAAACCTTTGACAGGACAGTTTAAAATCTGGGTCAGACCTGCTGCCAAATGTACAGGGTATGGCTTTTAAATAATTAAAAAATGGCAAAACTGGGCTCACGTTAGTCGAACCACAGTGTGCATGCCTCAGCCACCTAATATACATTGATCAATGGGCAAACATAAGTAAGCCAGGAAAGTTTCAATCTGCTCCAATTAAATAAAATGGAATTAGTCTCATTACTTAACACTTACTCGTTATCCTAAATTGCAGCTTTTGCGTTTTCCTAATTACATTGTTTCAAATGTGGATTTGAAATCGATTTATTGCTCGGCGCTAATTGCAGCTAAGTTGTTTTTTAAGGCTGTGATCTTTTAACCATCTCCGCCCAAATAATGCGTTCATCCTAATGAAGAGATGTAAAGATTACAGATGTGGGATGCCATTTAAATGCCATTTCTCACAATTGTATGTGAGTAAGTATAGTACATGCACAATTATACAGTTGCAAAATTATAGGCACATTCACATGGCTAATGTAAGCGTGCACATGTGCTTATGAGATGCATGTAAAGTGATTGTTGCTGGAAATTGTATAGCTTTTACTAATTGAAACCTTTTCTCGCCCTCTGTAATAATAAAGTGCCATTATGCAGTGGCCAAATCTAATACAGTCCATTACAAAACGTTCTACTGCAAATGTATTTAGAATTCATGTTTTGTGCAGCTTTAGCCTGCAGCATGCTTTCAAGGCATGGTCACAGTGGTCTATCTGAGTAATGAACTTGGAAATACTTATCTTATAGAATTAGAGAGTAGCTGTTAAATGGAGACTAAAACAGTCAAACATTGTTATACACTCCAAATTGTGTTTCCTTCCAACTATTTTAAAACCCCTAATGCATCCCAGTAGATCTTAATTCTGCTTTCATTTGCATGTATCAGTGAAGGAGAGGAATATACTCCGTAGCTTTATAGAAACAACTGCTTTATATCACCAATTTATCCATTCAGAAAACTCTTACAAGAGGTTATAAGCAGCACAGGACTATCAGAGCCACACAACCACATATTTGTTCCATGATTCGTGACCCATATCACAATACCTCGCTGGATATTGAGCCGTGGCTTCGATTGATCACTGGCTGTAGCTTCACACACATCTTTAAAGACACCAAAGGTTGCCCTCATGCAGGTTTTCTGCCACGCCGGTTTAATGCCCTCCTCTCCAACCAATTATCCCACTCCTTCTATAGCCGCCTCACATTCATTCTCCCTCTCAAGCAAACACAGTCGCGCTCCTGTTTCGCACTCATCACCAGCCTCTGAAACTCTGCAGTCAGTCACAGCCCTATTGAGTTTTCTTCTGGTTAGTGTCAATCAGCTCCAAAACAATGAACAACCAGTCAGTGTCTGCTCACCTCCTGCTCCATACAAGGCAATAAACTGATACTGAACTGCCAGATGTTTATGTTGCTAGCCCTGTGTGAGGCAGGACCCTGGGGAGTCGTGGCAGTGCCCCTACATCTAAATATAGACTTGGCCTGGAGCATCGAGAGGAATTGTTCTCTTTATGCAGTGAATAAAACACATTTAGTTTCGGGGGGGAAATATAAAAATGATGTATGGTGTTACACAAGTACTGGAATATTACACATTGTTTACTTTACTCAAAGGAATCTGCTCCGTTCGCCATATCTGATGAAAGTCAGTAATGTTACAGTGTGTGTTGTTGTAGCCGGTACAGTTTGTATCACACTAGTTTCTCTTTCCTAACACAGAAAGCCAACCTTACAGCTCGTCTCTGACACAGGGGATTGTGAAAGTCTGGAGTGGTCATGTACTTGTGATATCGTCCTTGACTGAGTTCGCACATGATGTTTTCATAATAGCTTGGAATATGGTAGTTACCAGCATGCAGCAGGTGAAAACTGTAGCTCCCTTAAGCGTACCTGCTGCGCTTCCCCGTTTTCCGAAGAGTTGGTCTTCTTCAGCAGTGGCAGAGTCTTTGTGTCACCGTATAATCCCCCCATCTCCTGCTTAGTCACACCATTGTAAGATGTTGAAAGCTGATGTAACTTAAGCACCCCCTCCGAAGCCATCCTCTGAGAGGCATTAGAAAACGCTCTTCCATCACCCCTCCGACCCAAACTCAGTGATCTCTTTCTTCGTCACCTGGTGCTTCAGCAAGACACTGAGCTCCACTGTAACTCAATTCCAACTCACTGTCTTTGGTATGACAGTGTTCTCTGTGTCTGGGTTGTCCTGAGCGATCGGGGGCGGTTTTGGTAACAAGGCTGACCGGGCTTTATTCTCTGTCTGCAGCTACATCAGGGGACTCCCACCTGAAACTGCTGTCTGATGTCGCCCAGACAGTAAAGGGCCAAGGGACTATTGCCTGGGTCAACTGTGGGTAAGTAATAGGATGATTTAACAAAACATATTCCGAGACTTCTTCTCTCTCCATCACTCCAAGACTCCCTGCCGTTTTCGACATTATGGCCTCTTTTGTCCAAGGAATTCTCTGACAGCAGTTATAAAGGCAGAGCAATTTACTCCTCCCAAGAATGTCTCTGCTGCCATCCATCTGCACAATTTATAGCTTTTCCACTGGGGTGTAAATGGACTTGTACCACTGGTTCTATTGTACGGGCACAATCTGACAGGAGGCCACTCACTTAGTAGAGCTATTGAAGCTCTGGGTCTAATGTGTTACGTCTCTTTATGCCATTTTCTGTTCTTCCTTTAAAGGGTTTTTATTTTAAAGTTTTTTTCCCCCAAAATGGGTAAATGAATGATAATAAAAAAACTGCTTCTCTGGGGAAGAAGTTAAAGGGTGAAGCATCCTATTTTTGAATTTCAGTATTTTTAGAGTTCATCTTTTTACCTAAAAGTATTTCCTTCCAAGGAGCCACTTTTGTCTGTCATGGTTTGCAAAGCCTTTTCTCCTTATCTGACTTGGCTCAAACTGTCACGTACACCAGTGTGTGCTGAGCCATTGTGAGAGTAAATGGTTAAAATAAGTCGTCAATTCCTTCATATAACATTACAGACACAGTTTCTCATGTTCAGCCATCTGCAACCATCTGAACCCCAAGCTGTTTCTGGATATTTTTTCGTTCCTGTCACATTTTTACTCACTGTGGGCCTGCAGTGTAGCGTCTTGCACCTCTATGGAAACAGAACAACTATGGTTAGAAGTAGAGAGAACTCAAAAATGTGTATTGTGCAGTATAACACAATTGTAATGTATAAATAATATATAATATATACATTGTAAAAAGAAAAAACAAGTTTTTTTTTTTTTCTTGGATCATTAATTTAAGAAAAATCAGGAAAACCTGGTATCAATATGTACCACATTTTTCCAAATGTTCACAGGTTTTACCAGTATTTTAGAAAATAAATTGTATCTCTGTGTACTTTAGCTAACTAACTGCATGCATTTTAATTTATTTCCACACTTGTCTTCTGTCTGCTTTAGTTTGGTTGAAAAGTCACAGAATTTTTTGTCGTGACTTTCAGCGGCAGATGAGTCACAAATGGCGTCATGGTTCTGCTGAGGAGCGATTAATAGAATCTTGTTAGTGCAAACAGTTTGTCACTGGTGAATTCTTTCATGAAGCATGTAGATTAAAGTGATTTTGAAGTGTCATGATTTTGAGCTTAGATTTGCTCAAGTTTTCCAGTCGTTTAGCTCTTGACAGGTGAATGGTTTATTGACCGTTAGAAAGTTGACAATCCAACGATTCTTTCTGTTTTTACAGTTCCTGGCTCTGACAACAGCAATGCCTTTCAAACGTGCCAGGGATTTGGGGGTTTACACGGGTTAATTGTCAAACATTAGACCCTTACCAGAATTCAGAAGAAGCAGAAGCAGCAATACAGATCTGATCAGAACTTTAATGCTAGTTTAGGTTCGCTAGAATAGAAATTATGAGTAATATAAATGAAGAAAATGAAAGTTACTTTTTTTTTTAAAGCACAAATGCCAAACATTCTGTAGTTACAGCTTCTAAATGATAAAGTTTAGTTTCTTTTCTAAGTGTGAAGTGACAGTAATCATAATCAGCAATGCATTTACATTATATATAGCGTTCAACCACATTAAAACTTCTGACAGCTGACATGACTGGCATTGATTATCTCGTTACAGTGGCACATGTCAAGGGTTGGAATACATTAGACAGCAAGTGAACAGTCAGTTGTTGAAGTTGATGTTTTGAAAGCAGGAAAAATGGGCAAGTAGCACATTGGCAATGACAATAGGACATGTGCAACCACAGGACGCCTTCAGAGGTCTTGTGGAGTCCATGTCTCGACAGGTCAAAGCTGTTTTGGTGGCTCTTTGGATTCAGGAAGTATTCAGACCCTTAGTAAAAAAAATTTAAAACAAAGTTGTTTTCTTTAGATTCATTAGAATTCTGAAATCTTAGATTCATATAAGTAGTCAGAGCACTAACTCTGACTTTGTGTTTTGCAGAAGCCCATTTGGCAGCAATCATAGCTCTGGGCAGTTTATCTCATTCTTCCTGGCAAATCTGAAGCTCAAGCTTCATCAGATTGGATGAGAAGCATCTGTGAACTGCCATCTGTAGGTCTCTCCACAGATGTTCGAAGAGGTGTGAGTCTGGGCTTTGGCTGGGCTGCACAAAGACCGTCAGAGTATTGTCTGGAAGGCACTTCCATGTTTTCTTGGTTGTATGCGACCTGAGAGCTTTTTTGGCTGCATTTTTCACTCATTTCTGACTTGTCTCCGACTGAGACTGGAATGACAAAAAGATGAAGAAGAAGATGAGCAGTGTCTGGAACTGCTGGCAAACTGTATATTTGGGGTTTTGATCTGTTGACTGAACACTTGTTTGATCACAAAAAGACATCCATCTGTGTCTTAGCCATTCTCACTTGATCCTGTAGAGTTCTGGGGCGGGTTACATCCTCGACAGCCACCAGTCTATCGCACAGACAGATAGACAGGCAGCCATGCACACTCACACTCTTGCCTACGGCTAATTTAGAATTACCAATTAGCAATCCATGCGTGTCTTTGAACTGTGGTAGGAAGCTGGAGCACCCATGCAGGCACAGGAAGAAGAAGCAGAACCTTGTTGCTATAAGGCGACAGTGCTGACCACTGCCTACCATATCGCCATAATAGCCAACGTATATTCAGTAAAATGAAAACAATAATACCTAATTGCATCCTTAGTCATACAGAAAATATTTGTTTTCATTCTCCACACAAACTTTTCCCTGAAAAGCAGAACATCTGTCATATGACTTTCTGGGGCACATCTATTTCCAGCCCACACTGTGAAAGTATTAAATGCTAAATTCTAGATACCAACAAGGATTGTTTTCTCCAAGCACATCTTGCTTCTCTCCCCAGTGTTCTGACTTTGACTTGTTGTTCCTATTGCCCTTCTGGTGTTCGGTTCCACTCTTTTTTTTTCCTTTTTCCATACCTGTCAACCCATCAACTGCATGAACCGTTTCCTCAACAGACAGGAAAGAATGTATGATAAAACAGGAAACAATGAGGAAGGCAGTAACTCCCCTTTGACACCTAGTGCTCATTCCAGCATTCACAATCTCTCTCAAGCTTATCCGGGATCGAACACCGGCTGGGTAGAAAGGAAGAGAAACCAAATTCAAAACAGTTTGAAGGAATTGTCAGAGGTGTTTGGCGTCCATGTTTCTTCACAAAGACACTCCATGATGCATGTCCTTTTTTAGTGTTTACTTTTTGACTCGCTTACTGTTTTTTGTTCGTGAGACTATGGTATCATCCGTTTCTTCCTTCTCCAACAACTCTCAGCATTCTAGAGAGTGCGCTAATGTGAGGCAGAGATTTATACTGGGCCAGAATCCCGCCAGGGGAGCTAGAGCGAGCCGGGTTCATCACTACAGGACACACGGATCCAGTGCCAGGCTCTGTAGCGAAGCATTGTGCTATTTGGCATATTTCTCCACCGTCTCAAATGGACCGGCTCCAAATCGAAGCTCCAGCTGAGAGCTCATGGTGGACAGAGGGAGAGAGAGAGTAGAGTGAATATCACAGCGTGAGAACGGTCAGCTCTGCCAAGGAAGAGAGCCACCAGGGCCAGAATGACACACTTTGAACAGATGACAGGGACCTGAGTGTTGGCCAACTGGGATCCACCAGTGGGACGAATGATCTCATACAGGAAGGGAGAACAGGACTGGGCTGCCCCCCTTTCGTTCCTCTGGAAATATAAAAGAGACAGAACATAGTAACATATATATGGTTTTGTCTGGGGCAGCGGGAATAGCAGAGCACAGACAAGCACAGCACGGATTAGGATTTGTGTTTTAGGAGTAATAATTAAATGGCATGCAGGGCTTCATCCTCTTTGCATGATGGGTCCATCATTAATCCTTTACAAACTGGCTCTGTTGACTTGGGCCTCATGCAAAGTTTTGGCTCCAGCTTTTTTTTCTGTCTGTCTTCAGTCTTGACGGTGTAACTTACACAGCCACCTTATTCATCAGGTATTTTGAGTTGGATATGTTGAGCCAAATGTGCCGCAAATTATGTTTTATTTGGTGCATTAAAACTTATTTTCACATTTCCAGTGAAAATCTTTTTTTTTTTTTTTGTAACTGTTAAGCTGTCCATATGGTTGTTTGTATGCCAAAAGACATATCATGAACAAATAGGCAGTCATGGCTGAGGATTTCAGTTTCAAAGTGGAAATCCTCAGCCATGACTGAGGATTGCACTGCACTGCACTGCACTAACGACAGTCTCAAAAATAGAGATTCAGACTTCTGGGTTTTCATACTTTACAAACATAAGGATCTAAATCTGTCAACTTGCAGGTTGGAACTTTCTGTAACATTCTTCCTCAGATTTAGACCAGTTTCCGGTTTGAAGTTGTGTAGCTGAAGCCATACTGAAGAAGAAGCAACAGTGTAGAGTTGCTTCTGAGGGATTTTAAGCCAGGAAAGGATTATTGTCATGAGAGAAAGTTTCAAATCTGATATATATATATTTATATTTCAGCTTACCCATAATCAGAAACAATTTGATCTACTTGTTCAATATTGCAGATTCTGAATCAATGGCATGATGGGAAATAGCTCAACATTTCAGGCTTTTATCTTTAATAGTTCCTAATACACCATCATCCAAACATAGCCTCAAATTTCAATGTGTGAAAAAACATGCTGAAAGTGGGTCGATGTGTGATTAATAAAATAATGATCTAGGAAGGAATATATCAATCTAAAATTTCACAGATATGATTTTAAATATCCCTAGTTTATGATTCAAAGGTTTAATGCACATCAGGGATGGTCGATCCAAAGGCCCCTGATGATTCGAATTCTAAATTTCTTGGCTACATGTACTATGAGTTATATAAAACCTGTCTGATCCTCCGACTGCTTGTGTTTATTGCTCTGTCAAGCTGATTTTCCAACGGTTCACAGAAGTACCCTGTTGAGTGCAGTGTTATCATGACCGATAACAATAACCAGAACTACACAAAAAAAAACCTGAGCCCCGATAAGTAAAGCTGTCGTTCAACTCGTAGTTTGTATTCATGTGGTCAGCCGCAAAATCTACTTCAGTCACATCATCATCATGTTCGTTGGGTGTATCAAACAGCATGTGAACTTAATTGCTGACAAATGTGGTGCTGCATAAACCCAGAGCATACAAGTCTAGATAAAGCACGGACAATCTCACCACACCAACCACAGACTTCCTACTCACTGACGGCGCACTGATTGACGTTATCCCAATGATGAATACAAAACATTTGTGCTCATCCAGTGGACGAAATCTCTGATGAAGTGCTATTCATGGTCTTTGTTCTCTCTGAACCAAACATTAGCTAGTGAGTCATTCTTCTGTAACTTCTCAGGGCTTACGTTTTTCTCTTCTGTGATTGAAGAACACTGCTGTTGACAGACACTGTAGTTCAGAAACCTAATAGCATGCTCTCTTTTTTTTTTCTGAGTCACTATTACTTTGTATGTTGACCAAATGAGTAATAAGATGAAAGCCTTTGTTCATTGTTCCGTTGGCACATACCCAGGTGTGCGGCCTATTCACAGTCTTCCAAAAAGTGCTATATAACAATAGCTGATGGTATTTTATTCCTACAGCTCAGCAAAGCTCAGATTAGCTCAGTTTTAAACTCCCTAACAATGCACTGTCTATCAGAAGAGTTAGAACAGCTTCACTGAATGTTTATCTCCAGAGTTAAGTAAATGTCGAGAGTAAGGTACATATTTCTTTGTTGTTACTACACAAGTGCAATGTACTTAAGATTGCAGCAGTCTTTGAGTAGATGAGCATAAAAGTAAATCCAATGCCACAAAAAAACCCCTGTAAAATACAGAAGTTAAAGTTCATAAAGCACTTTTTGTGGTATGTCACACAGCTATCAGACTTTCATACAAGGTCAGCACATTGCAAATCAAAAGATAAAAGAAGTGCTTTCATAACACTATGTACAGCTGTGTGCACAAGTATACTCTGTCTCTTGCCATTGATGAAAACCCCATAAACTCATCTCTGTGTGTCAGTCACATATTAAGAAATGTTTTTATTTTTGTTTTTTTTTACCTTAAAATGGCTTAGATCAGGGCTGACTATGACCAACTTTAATTGATTGGTATCGGCAAGGAGCAAAGCCTGATTCTTTGGTATTTGTGACCACATGAAGAAACCTGCAAAATATGACTGATTCATATGCCACTGGAATATAAGAGCTCTGTCTTAGTGTATCCCAGCTGTTTTAAACACTCATGCTGGCCAGAGGTTATTACACCTTGGGGAGAACTTTGTCTTGATGCCCCCCCCTTACTAGTTATTTTACTACGATGTCCCCTTGTCAACAATGAAGTGCCCGCTTCCTCTGGTCTCCACACTACTGAAAAGTAAAAGGCTCCAACTGGTGGCGCAACCAGCTACTACAGCTCATATACAATACTCAAAATGCGTATTACCTTTGAACATGGTATTTGGTTTCGGCAGATACTAAATATTAGATGACTTGGAACGTATCTGGAGATAAAGAAAACCTCTGATGGGGTGTCCGTAGACACAATGAATCTTTTTAGTGGCCAAACTGTAGCCCACGTGAGTGTAGGGTTGTGTCAAGACAACATGGCAAGCTTTCATTTTACATTGTTGTTTCTTTAGTTTTTAAACCCAGTACTATGAAACTTTAAGTTTTTGACCAGTTTGTGTAATAAGTTGAGATAGACTTAAGATATCCTTTTTAAAGTTACTAAGAACCGTCAGCTGGTACTGGCAAATAAAAGCCTACGATTATGACTCTGAAATGGAAGTAGTTTATTTAAAAAAAAAAATATGGACACATAATGACCCAATTCTTTGTAAAAGCACATCGCCATGGCTCATAAGCACCACTTCCATCTTGTTGTTTTCATGCCTGGCATAGCCACTTTCATTGATTATAATGAAAGCGTAGCATTGTATCATCCACTCCACAGTTGTACTCATATGTAAAGCTTGCAGTGTAGCCACAGAGTAACCCTACACAGTTGCTTCTTCTAGAATTACGCTCCTGTCTCACCACTTATCCCAGCTTCAATCACTGCAGCCTGAGCACACCAGCTTACCGACGACGCTGCTTAAACACTGTAAAACCACTTACACTACACAATGTACCCAATAATATTGTGTTCAAACTGGACACCAAGACAATAATATGAAAAAGGCCCATCCTGTAAGTTGACAGAATTGGTTCCTTAAGTTTGTTACCAATGAAACCCTGGAAACATGAATCCATGTTTTTGAGACTGTCAGAAGATTTCCACAGATGGGGCTCTTTAAATTAACATATGGCATGACATGAAAAATCCAAGCCGAGCTGTGATTAGTTTAAATATAAATGTTTGTTTTGCATGTATGGTGTTAGGTTTGTATTGTAAGAACTACATTTGCTATGATTTAATACACATCATTTTTGAGACAGCCTCTGCATTGTTGCCTCAATATTGTATGTAAAGTTGTGAATATGCAAAGTTGTCAATCTTCCAAAGTAGCTTTACTTTGCATAAACTGTTTAGTAAAAGTTGCAATACATCCCACAACAATAATATTTTGGGTAGATTTTAATCCACTTGATTGAGGGTCTCTTTTCCACTTTTTCCAGCTTTGGGATTTCTTTGACATGATAGATAGATTGTGGGATCCCCTGTGCAAAGCTTTTTGGACACATTATTGCCTTTCAGCATTTGTCACTTGTGGCAATTTTTCAAAAAGTTGGAAGCAGCAGACTGGTTTTGAATCAGGTGACTGCTCGTCATCTCCAAATACGTGTCGAGGTCACATCTGCTCCTGGTGTGCCCTGACTGGTGCCATCTGCCATCATGAGTCAGCCGAACGTGGGATTAAGCACACAATCATCACCTGAAATACTGCTGGGCAACACATACACAGACACACACAGATTTGTCTTCTTCCTATAATGAAAAACTACACCGAACATAGACTGGATTCAACTTGCTGTGGGTCTGGAAGACATTATTGAATTCCACCTCTTTAAATTGGCTTACACCGGACCTTCTCTCTAGCAAATACTTTCATCCATCTCTCTCTAAATGAATGCACATTTTCTTTGCTTTTTATAACAAGACTAGGAAGAGCACTTCATCCTTGCTGATAGAGCTCCATTGTAGAAAGTGTGAAACGTGTAGGTGGCTAGATGTATATTTATTTCCTTTCCAACTACAGTCTTTTTTCAATTACAGAAGTAAGCCTCACACAAAAAAAAAATCTGTTTGCTGACACACTGTACAGTATGCACATTTTGTCCACGAACTGCATGTGTTTGTGTATGCATAATAAATGGAGCAATCAACATCACTTATACAACACTATACATGTGGTTAGATTGATCTGAAGGTAATGTAGTCATGTTTTCATGCAGCATCTTCTCTCCACCTTTTCCTAATTTCTCTTCAGTGAAGTTGAAATTACAAAAACATGCTAGCAAAGCATATTCTTAAAGAGAAATAAATACATAATGCAAGCAATGAATGTATCAAAAATGGCAGCAGTACAATGAATTTAATGAGCAGGTCTTGCACTGAGAGAAAATGTATGTATTGGTGTGTATAAAGAAGACATAAAAGTAAGGCCTTATATGAAACATGCTCAGATAAGATGAGCTTTGCAGTTTCATTTATTATTGTTTTTTTACTTTGAGTTTTACAAAGGAGAGCTTATAATTTTACAATTTTGGGGAAAATTCCAAATGTTTCTATGGTGACCCATTACAATTGAGAATTTGTGATAAACTGAATCTGTTTGATTAGGATTTGTCTGTGTATACAGTCCACAATTTTAATTAAATATGGTTCTAGATGAACATGTCTTTGAAGTGATCTGAAATAGTCAAGTTTTAGTTTTATAGTATGTTCATTTTTTTCAAAGGGCAAAGTACTTTGTTTCTTAGATTTTGACAAGTTTATTCATTGTTACCATTTTTGTGTAAGCGTCTGTGGTTGAGGGAATGAATGACAAACAAGTGTTTGTTAGTGTGGACCATTGTGTCGTTGAGTATGCAATTTTTAGGTTTTCAAATTCAAAGTGATATATGAATTTACTGCAGACTATTCCCAAATCTGACTGTTCCGTTTTTGCATTTTAATCTCTGTCTTTCAGTGATTCCGAGGGCCGTAAGCTCTGCAAGAAAGTAAAGGTGGACCCGAGCTCCAAACGTGGAGGAGCAGAGCTGCTGCATTACAAGTGAGTAACCAGAAACTCAGCGGGCTGTCAGACATTTTTCCACACCTCAGTGCTTTTTGGAAAGTAATACTGTACTGCAGCTTAAGAAGTACGTTATTCACCGTTTACTCCCAGTGTTGTGAGCATTGTGCCTGGTGTGTCTTGCAGAGATGGGACGTTTCACACCGAGTACAACAGGCCTGCTACCTTCAAGGTGAGCACTCATCTGAATTCCTGCACTGTGCAGCGCAGTTGTCTGCTGCTTAGTATGTACCAATGACTCCTCACATTCATAGTGTTAATTATTTTACCAGTCATTAACAAATATTATTATCTCCTGTGAAGCACAGTGTCTCTGTGTTCATTTAATTTATTCTTTTGCTGAGATAAGAGCTGCTTCTCTCTGTTTATTAAGATTATGAAGAAAATGTATAAACATGATTTCACTGACTAACACATTAACATTTTAGTCATATCTTGTTTCTACATGAAAAAAAGTCAGATACAGTGTTATGTCCTCTTTGATTCTCCATTTCATACCAATCATTTAAAGAGAGAGGTTAAAGTAACCTAACAGGTTTTCTATATGAATAATTAAAGTTAGAAACTACTAAGGTTGCAGTGTACAGCGTATCTAATACCAGTGTGAAAACAATGGCACAATGAGAAAATGTGAATCATTTGGAGTGATAAACCTGCAGAGAGTCATTAGGTGAACCTGCAGCTCCCCTCAGCTTCTTACTGAGTTTCAGCTCATTGTTCATCTGTCCGGCGTGCAACTTTACTCTTCGGGTTCACTCTCACTGCACTCATACTGTTGTTTTTGGTCACAGCAGGCAGCTGTTTCCAAAAGAAAAAGTTATAAAAACCCACTAGACAATGCCAGCAGACAGGCACAGTTAGAGACTTGTTTGTGAACCGAGTCAGAACCAGATATTTCCCCCAGGATTTAGTGTAGAGACTTAAAAACCAAGTGAAATAAATGGGAATTTATCAGGGAGCCATAAATGCGATTTGAAAAGTTTGCCACATCAGCTTAAAGTCCCTCTCCGGTTGTTGATTTAACTCCTAAAAACTCATCTCTGTGTGCCCAAGTTACATATTCAGAAGTTTTTTATCCCTGAAAATATTCCCATCATACTTTAAAATGGCTTAGGTGTTATTTGCATGTTCAAACCTGAAATAAATGCAGAAGAATAATGATACAGAAAGATCGATGTATCAAGGTGAGAGAACTGGTTTGTTATGTATAAAACCACAGAAATGTGAATCTGTGTTTTGAGACTGTCATCAGTACACTGCATTTTTAAGATAGAAAAGGTCAGACACGGCATTGATTGCTTACATCACTCATGATGTGTCTTTTTAGCATATAAAAAAAAAACATATAGACATGTTAACAAGGTTAAAAAAAAAAAAAACACGAAAAAAAGAACCTTAACTGTTACTTAAGGAGGATGTCAGTCATGTCAGTTGAAAATAAGATCGTTATATTAGCTACATATTTGGAATAATGAAAAACTGTGGTTAGCCACATCTGACGAGTTTTAGGTTTGATGTGTTTGACAGCCTCTAATTATGTTGTTGACAGGAGAGCGCGTCAACTACTGTTGGCATCCTAGACTGAGGCTGCATCTACACTAATACGTTTTCATTTTAAAACGAAAGCAACCCCTGATGAACATTTTAACACCATATTACTAACATCACACATCACCTGACTGCTGATGGTCACAGGCCATGAGGTTGGTAGCTTAGTTGTACAAAATACTATGAATGAACAACAGCAATAGCAAAAAGTCAGACCAGGAGTTTTCTTAACTGCACAGAAGCTGCTTGCATACAGAATAATGTAAATCAAGCCTATAATTTGTTGTCCACGTTGAATTAACCAGTGGCACTTACTGCTGATGTCTTTCCCAAAAAATGGTTAAATGATAGGAGCATGACAAATCAGTGAACAACACATAGAGACAGAAACATAGGTGTATGTCTGCGTCATGGTTTCTAGAAGTCTCCATGTCTGCCGTCTAGACCAAAACCCAGAGTTTGTAAACTTAAACAGGGTAAGCAACGTTCCATTTTAGAGGGTCTAAAACTCTGGAGTCGTGTGGACACTAAGCAAAACCTCAAAGTTCAAATCTTTAAAATGAAAATATATTAATGTGGATTGAGCCTGATTGAACAAGTGTTTAACCTCCAGACCTGATGTCAGTGGCACAGCTCCATCCGTCACTTTGGGATTCACATTAAAGAATCAGTCCTTTTCTTACATTTTTCACAGTTTACTGAGCTACAGTTTGTGGCTCAGGTGTGAGCTCAGGGTTATCCACTAACTCCAAGGTTGACTGATTGTAATTTGGATATAAAAAATGCACTCTAATGAAGATTCTCTTAAGTATGGAGAATCGACCACTTCTGTGGTGTTTTTTTGTTTTTCCTCCAAGTTGCAATAGAAACTCAGCAACAATGCCCTGAGCAGCAAGTTCTTGGTTTGATTCCCAGCTGTGGACCATTTGCTTCATGTCATCCCCCTTATCTTATTCCCCACAGTTCCTCTCTCTTTCTGCTATCTCTGTGACATAAAGGTTTAAGAATTGCCCAAAAAATGGTCTTGTGAAAAGAGAGAGAGGAACTTGTCATAAGGAATTTTGGTAGCCATCACTCTTGTGTATTTCCCTGCCATGATTTTATTATTCTGTTTACCAGCGTTTGTCTTTCCCTGACAGATGGAAAAGCAGTCGCAACAATAAAACACCAAAAGTCTCAGTTTAAACCATTACAAAGTAGTAACATCAAGGTCATTAAATATTCCACCCATGTCCACACATCATTGTTATAGCGCTGCGGAATGAAATATTTCCTGCTGTTGCCTCCACAGACATATGGTTCATTATATTTATAGGAAACTTTACCAAGCCCATTACCAGACACTTAAAAGTACTGAAATAGCTTTGACACATTTTGGATGCATGAACATGCTAATCTATACGAGCTTCCATCTGGCACTGCCTACATCACTGCCTGAACTAAATTTAGGAGCGACTTCAGCAATGCTCACGTAAATCATCACCAGTCATGCTGTTGTTCACGGGATGATTCTGTGCCAGTGACAAGTTGTTGCATGATTTAAGTGTTGCCTTTGTTTAGACAAACTGTCACCGATGCATCATACTGACTTCTTTTTTTTCTGTTTTTTTCTGTCCTCCATTCAGTCTATGGTAGCATTTTTGAAAGACCCATCAGGGCCCCCACTGTGGGAGGAGAACCCCGAGGCAAAAGATGTCATCCACATAGAGACAGAAAAAGTAAGTAGTTAAACAATGTTCTAGCTCTGGATGAATTATAAAGAAGCTTCTGCTGCACTACTAATTGAAGCCAGAAGATTAATGTTGACATACGGTTGCTGTGATTACAAGACCGCGACAATCCGAGGGTACATCTCTGCTCTCGTTTCCTGTTGAGGATTTGATTAGCTTCTGAAGCTGACACAGCAGCGTGTCCATCTCTGCAACACAAAGCCTGACACATAAAAGCAAAAAATATCAGGGATTTGTCATCAAAGAGCTGCTCAGCGTATTTCGTTAGACCTAAAAACACAGCCCTGTTCTGCAGCCTGGAGACATTTCAGCCAAGTCAGATATCGCCACCCCAACACGTTGACCTGCAGCCTAACCACCTCCGGCACTCGTAGATGCAGTACATACAGCATTATGAATGCCCTTTAATTTAACGAACAGCAGATCTGACGGTTTTCGCCAGCTCGCCCATTCTTGCCTGGGGGCTTGGTGAAGGTGTCAACAAAAGATTGTGCTGAATGTGCTGTTTTTGGAAGTAGCTGAGCTCATGAGGGTGATGATAAGGAAGAGAAACTGTGTGGGAGCTGATCTACCTGCTGTCCACGGAAGAAAGTCCTTCTAAGAAATGGCTGAAAAAGCAGGGGTGGCGTTTTGTTATTTAAAAACCTCTGTATGCTAAACAAATGGACCTTGGAGCAAGCTGTATATGGAGATCATATCACACTAGGGATGTCACGATTGCAGACATTTTGTAGTGGTACCAATACCTCTAAATTTCTTCAGTTTGTGATACTAATACATTTTGTACCGGAGTGCCCAGCTGCCTGATAAATAGAGTTAAAGATTGCAAATAATGAATAGCCTAGGTGTAATAATTGTGGTTAAAAAATCACAAACATTACATAACCAGTGGAATGTAGCCTCAAAGTATTTAAAACTAACAACACTGTGTTATAAAACGCATTCATCCAACCTTCTTGTAAGAACTTCAATGTGAATTTTTGTCATATTTTCTGTGCCTCTTTAGCTGTAGTTGGCTGGGTGTGTGTTGGTCTACTTTGTCTTTATTTCTCGACATCCTCCTCATGCTGATGTTGTGAAAAGGCCATTAGAAAAACCACAGAGACACTCACACTGCTCTGTGTTAACACCCTAAAAGGTAATGCTGATAGCCTACTAAAAGGCACGTTTCCACTGGAAGCCCACGGTGGTACAGACGTTTACAGGAACTGCCTCCTAATCTGCCCTTTTAGTCTTTCTATTTCAGTAGCAGTTCAGAATCCGGCAGCTTTGACCAAGACGTTAACCCAGAGTGTGTCAAAACAGCGAAAAAAACGTAATAGCAAGACATAAGTCGAGGTTCTGTGCGCATGTAGGAAATAGAACAGTGAACGCTTTTTTATGTTAGCATATATGGTTAATTTTACGTTGTTGAAGGTGATGTTTGAGAGGAGAAGACACGATGAAGATGTCAGGAGGTCAGAAATAATTATACTAGTTGTCTTCTGTACAGCAGTTTGTCAGAGTCAATCAGAAGTCCTTATTCCACACCAGGAGCTTTCTTCTCCTCTAAGTGGGCATTTTGTCACACAAAGGTTCAGGCTTCATTAAAACCGCCTACAAGTTACTGGAGTAGAAAACAGCCAAATGTTCTAAGCAGCATCCGGCTAACATTTATAAGCTACGTTAGGCTATAAAGATACTGTATGCCTTTGTCAACACTGTTTGTGGAGCATTGCTACCACAGACACGGTTCACAAACAGTAACATTGTAGGATGTAAACAATGTAATGAACTGGTTTTCATATAAAGTAACAACTGAAACTGTGTGTGAAATCTGTGTACCGATCCAGATCTTAGGAACGTTTCGATAAGTTTGAGGTGTTTCCTCTGTTCGTTCTAAATATGACACCATTGGTATTCTGGCTTTGGGCTTCTATAATTAGTCTATGATCACCACCTAAACACTAAAAAACTTTATACTTTTTAGGTGTTTTTCCATTAAAGTTGCAGTGGACCTGTTGCTCCACCTGGAATTGCCAATACCTACCAAAGAAGTCACAACAGCTGCTTTTCAAATCACATACTTTATTTTTTTTCAAGTGCATTATGCAGCTGCCCTTATAAAGTCCTATTTTATTCATGCAGTATGCATAAAATTGTTTTATACTCATTATTTATCAAATAAATGCACCTTAAGCTTTGACCGTTGCAGTCTGCAGTGCAAAATGAGCTGTCATCTGTCAGTGTGCTGTTGGCGACTCCAGTTATGTATACTCACGCAAAACATTGCAACGTAGAGGACTGTGGGTCAGAATGGCCAGGAAAACATACTGGCTTGCATACTACAAAATCTGACCAGATGCAGTCGGACATTTTGCATACTGTATACTCGTATGCAACTGGAGCGCAACCAATGTCCAGACAGCTGTGGAAACATAAAAAAGTATGGTCACAGTTTCAGAATTTTTTTTTGACTTGGTATAAAGTATTTGTACTCGTGACATCCCATGTTTCATCAATGTATGTACATATGTTCATATAAATAATAAACCTCCTTAACCTGCTCTTTGTCTCCTCTCTGACTCTTGAAGGACTTCAGGAAGCTGCTGAAGAAAGAGGAGAGGCCGGTCCTCATGATGTTCTACGCTCCCTGTGAGTCTTCTCCATTTTGCAGTGTTAGTCGCTCACAGCTACTGAGACAAGTGGCGTTCGTTTTGGTAGACTGCTTGACCATATTGCAGTCAGTACACAGTATTCCCGGAAAAACTGTCAGCGGCTATAATTATCCTGAAAATATTAAATTAACTTGCTTCACAGTGTGCCTTATTTGAAGAGAGAGAATACAGTATGTGGTGTCGATCAATAAAATAGAGCTTACAAGCTAACCCTGTACAGTTATAATCAATAATACAATATGATTTTCGACATTCATCTCACCTGGTAAACATGACACATAATCACAGATAAGGCTAGAACTGAGGAGTTCTTTCTTCTTACTGATAAACCACTCAATTATTTTTAGTAATTATTATTTCTAAAATAACTGGAAAATTGCTCCTCAGTTTTTCCCACATCTCCGTATGGCATCTTCAAATTGATTATTTTGTTTAAGCAACAGTCTGAACACTGGAATGTTTAGTTTCCAATTGTGTAAAACAGAATAAAGCAGCAGATTGTCACAAAAGCTAATTGTCTAACAAAACTGTTGAGAATTAATTTCTCTTGACTGGCTGAGTGATAAACCTGTTGATCATTTTACCAGCTTGAGAGCAAAACGATGTTTAGTCAACGAGTAGCTTTTTATTGTCTGCTATTGTTGCTCAATAGTAAATACTTTACAAGGGTTTTTCCATGTGTTGTGCTCAATTATTATGGTCAGTGGTTTTCAGTAAGTCATATCTTTTACAGCAAATAGCGTGCTTCAAGCTGCTATCTACACAACAATAACACTTCTCCTCTAAGATGATGGGAAACAGTTGTATTGATTATTGTATACTTGTCAGACTTCCCATTGAGTTCCCTGTAATAACCTCTGGGGTTCTGTTTTGTATTTTGGTTGCAGGGTGTGGCGTTTGCAAGAGAATGCAGCCCATTTTTCAGCAAGCTGCCACGGAGACAAAGGGAAAATATGTAAGTCTGCTGAACCGACCCCCTGCACGCTTTCTTATTGCATTAACTGCCTCTGATCCGCCGCAGTTCGTCTCTCATGTTTGCAGATGAAATGAGATGCGTCAGCGGTGAATGTCTGGATAGTTAGCTTGGCAACCCACTAAAGTACAGACAGCCAGTTTAAATGAAAGATTCCCTTGGTTGTTTTTCCAGCAAAAACATCTCGCAAGTACAGCACCTCGTCAACTTTTGCACCGTAGATTTTGATTTAGTACAATAATAACCCAGATGGCCTTTAAAGCTCTGATCCTCTCGCTGCTGGACTTAATTTATATTTTACCTGTGTTTGGGTTCGCATCGACCCACCAGAGCAATTACAATAGTTCATTCAGAAGCCTAGCAGTCTGGCTTAGCTGTATGTTTTAATGATTTTATTACTTTACAGTATTGCACAGTTATATAGTCATACGCAGTATTAAACAAGTTAATTATATGGGTTTTATCTGGTACCTTCAGCCACAACTAAGTGCTAAAGTCCTTCCAGCTGAAGTTTACAACATCCACCCAGTGTAAATGTCAGTTTAACCTTCCCAGTCTTTGTGTTCACTTCCTAACTTTCCTTTTCCTCCTATTTTCCTGGGGGGCTGAGTGGTGTCTGGGCCTGCTTTTAATTGCACTGGAGAGGTTCACCCACAAAAGCTACCAGAGGCCCGTATTATTAGCTGGGGAAACAAATGCTTTGTGCTCATAAAGGCTTCTCCTCAAACACCAGAGGGAGAAATAAGGAAATGAATGAAAAGATAATTAGTTAAATTTGTTTCAATGTCAAGCGAGTAGTGAGTGTTTAAGCCTTTCAACTGGAAACTGCGGCATGCATTACAAGCTTTCTGTGTTTGTGTGTATGTGTGTGTGAGAGGCTGAGATAGATGCTTGGGAGTGTGCCTGCTATTCCAAGAGGCTAATAGTGCAGCTTAGAAGTGAATACTGAATTGGTGGTCAGCCAAGTTGTATAACACGTGTCTCGCCTCAGTGTCATGGACGCAGGAAGGCGTAAAGTTCAGGCGTGTTGCATCTTGTCAGGCTGAAATAGCTGGAAACAAATCCCCACATTAATCTGTGAGGTTTTTTT